AAGAGCCGATCCACTTTTGCTTTTAGAATAAACCTTTTAGTTTGAATACTAAATATCTCAGAGAGTCTGTTCCAAGAGAAGCACAAAACTTGATCCCAAGAAAAACTATTCAAATTATGTCTGCTCCTCAGTGTTTCACATCTTTTAAGCTTAGTTTCAACAGCAATCTGTTCAAAGATAAGTTCAGTTTCCAGAATACTCTTCTGGTTTGGATACCAAATATCTTGAGAAGTCTATCGAAAATACAAAAGCTTGACCTTAAGAAAAACCGCTCAAGTTATGCTTGCTCCTCAGTGTTTTATGTTTACAAGCTTTGTTGATAACTGCTTACTCAAAGACAAGACCAAAATAGTATCTATCTTGGAACTTCTTATAGTGTTTTTCTGTAGTTCGATTTTTTGTTGTATTGTCCAGAGGATCATCAGAAAGAGTTCAATCAATAGTTTTGTATTACTATAAATATATTTTATTATATGGATTTTATTATTTGATGCATAGTGCACCGTAGTGCACTGGTATATGCAGATCACTAGAATTGAAAATCCGATCATAAATAAATTACATAAAAACAAACTATGCTTACTAATTTTGATTTTTCGCTTTTCTCTCCCTAAAACTAGTTAGTATATTAAATGATACTGAAATAAATCTAAATGATTTCACAGATGATAACAATAAAATAAATATAAAAGATTACTTTGAAGAAGCATTTTGTGGTAGTATAAAATGTAGAAGAACTATCTACAAGTATTGAACCTGTTATATTAAAGAAAGAGATTCATTTTTGAATTTTAACGAAGCTGAATAACATGTATAACAATATGCTGAGTTTAAAAGATTCAAGATAAAGCTGTGTTAAAGTACTATAATCGAAGCGGAAGATGGAAAAATGATACGAAAAAAAACTATTCTCTGTCGTCACTCTGGTTATTACCAACCAACAAATTCTACAAAAGCAAAAAAGTCTGTTAAAATAGAATATCAATGGCATGTGAATCTTTCATAGCCATTAAAACAAAACCTAAACAACTATGTCTATATAACAACGTTGGAGGATGAACATAATCATGGGATGTGTTCTGAAGTACTTCAATTTGAAAAGGATAAGGTATTCATCAAGAAGATGTGAGAAGATATTGAATTCTATATGACATAGTGTTATTTCGGCACGACTTTGATTCAAAAAATCCTTAAGCAAAAATACCTTTTCTATCTAATTTTTGCCAAAGACCTATATAATGAGATTAGAAAGTACAAGCTATCAGTACAAGTCAATGAAGGTAATGTATCAAGATTCTATGAGGAACTGTTAGCCAAACAATATGAGGATTTTAGGTGGTTTGTGGAGGTTATGTGGGAGGCAGAAACTAATACTCTTACTAGACTCTTTTTGATAAGTTCAGATCAGATTATATTGTGGCATGAATTTAGTCAAGCAGTTGGTTATGACAACACAGCGGGAACAAATCGTTATCGCATACCCTTGTCACTTTTTGTAGTTCATGATGATGATATGAAACCTCGAATTGTCGTACAGACCCTTCTAAGTGATAAAACTACTAAATCATATCAGTAGGTATTGAGTATGACAAAAAAAGTGACAAGAGGACAAATACCTGGTATGATTATTACTGATGGTGACCCTGCTATAAAACGTGCAATCACGATTGAATACCCAATAAGTTATCATATTTTTTGCATATAGTATCTTAAGAAAAATCTCAAAAAAATGCTTCATGAAAAGTTAGGTATGCATTTTGATATATTTTATTTGGTATTTTGAAAATGTCGTAATGCTTATACTCCTGAAAGCTTTAATTATTATTGGAACAAATTAATAGAGTATTATTCTGTAGCATAGCAATATTTAGAAAGGTACTTATTTGGATGACAAAAATCTTGAGCAAGAGGATTTATGGTGACAATGTTCACTTTGGAGATTGAAACAACTTCATTTGTTGAGAATGAAAACGTATGCATTAAATACCTTCTTGAAAGCAGTAATATGTCTTTTTATGATCTTAGGAAAGTCTTTATGAATTGCGTCGAAGATAAAGCAAGTGAGAAACAATATGAAGAATTAATTAGCATTAGTGTTCTTTTGACTATAAATTGTGTAACAATTTTTTTAGCAATAGAATCAATTGGTACATATTATCTGCGTCTGAAAGTTGCACAATATATAATTGGTCAAATGAAGAAATGTGTATACTACACAGCATACCTATCTAATATCGAAGAAATTGAACATATAACTACAGATAAACCATCTGAAAGTAAAAGGTTTGAAGATGAACTGGGTAGTGTTCTTGTATATGCACGGTTTCTTTTGCATCAATTGCATTATGATAGTATTGTAGAAGTTTGGAAAATTTCTCGAATTACTAAATGCAATATAAATCATATAATTTTTTGTCTTGCAGATGGATCTTATTGTTGTACTTGCTTATTTTAACAAAAACTTGGACTTGTTTGTTGGCATTATTTTTTATTTTCTAAACATTATAGAAGCAGCATGGTTTAGTATGAAGTTAATCAATATTCACTGGATTCCTCAAAGCAAACGTAGTGATGCTCTAAATGAATATGAGTGTTTTGAGCAACGTTTTAGTGATAATAAGCAAGTAAATTATTTTGAATTGCCCTTTTCAACTTATAATATAGATGTGCAAGATAATTTTGATAATCAATTCGTAAAAGAACAGCTCTTTTATAGAAAGATTTGGAGTTTAGTATGTACTGCAACTGATAAGTGTTTACTATATCAGGATTATGGATTTATTCAAGTAGTTGAAAATTATTTGGATGAAGTGTGTAAACATAAAGAAGAACTTACACAAGCAAGTGCAATCAACTTAAATGATTCTAATAAAGAGAATACATATTCAAGTATTCAGCTTAGAAATCTATTAAAGGTGATTATTAAAGGCTAACTAAAATTAGCTAATCACCATAAAGATAAAACAAATCAGCACTTAACAAATCATAATGATAAGCAAAAGTATGGTCTGAATCTTTGCAGTTATTGCAAAGAATCAGATCTACAATATTGTTAGATGTCTTTATAAGTCTATAGACCAAAATTGAATTGTCATGTATATAGTTAAAATATTGTGCTAAGTTGCAAACTCATATTATCATGTTATTTTGCTTATTTACGAACAAATCTTTGATTTTTACTTGAATAAGCTAACACTATTGCAGTTATACTATAAATTATAATGTTTGTAACTGGTTATAACATAATTTGGAATAGTTCTAGCATAGTTGTCTCGATCGTCTTGATTGTAAATTGTATTACTTTTATTAGTATTAAGCCTATATTGATATATGTTGCGTATTAGATTAATTAGGGTTAGAAAAGTTTATATCTATCAAGATATTGTATATTCGATTAAAAAATCTAAATTAATATGTTGATATATTATATATCAGATGAATTAGGGTTAAAAAGCCTATTTTGACTTATAGTTTGCATCTGATTAATTTAGTTAGAGCTATTCTTAAATTAGCATTATAGTAAGGATTGATATTAACAAAATTGTTGTTTTAGTATATTGTTTATTATTTTGCAAATAAAGTTGTATATGTATTAAATTTAAATATTAAGTATATTCTAAAATATATAATATATATAATTAAATTCGTTATATAATATGATCACGTGAGGGGTGTACTACAGTACAGATGCATCAAATTATAAAACCCTTATTATATTATTATATAGTAATACAAAACTATTTCTATCTTAGCATCTAGTAATTAGATTTTTATGATTTTAGACTTGTCAGAATTCTCTTATTAAGAGAATTCTAACAAATCTAAAATAATAAAAATCTAATTACTAGATGCTAAGATAAAAATAGTTTTGTATTACTATAAATATATTTTATTATATTATTATATAATAATACAAAACTATTTCTATCTTAGTATCTAGTAATTAGATTTTTATAATTTTAAACTTGTTAGTATTCTCTTAATGAGAAGATCATTTTGGTAATTAAATCACCTAAATTGGCCTAGTAGATCAAAAGTTATCAATAATTAAAATTTTATAATTAATTATTAACAAGTTTATATTTAACTTAAAAATATTTTTTAATTTTGGCTAAAACTTGATAATTCTAGCCAGAATTACACCTGATACACTAGCTAAATCACCCACTCACCCTGAAATCAGCTGATTTCTAAAAGCTTCTAACTCAAGTAAACTGTTGTCAACAAAGCCTAAAAAATATGAAATACTAAAAAGCAGATATTAAATAGATGATTTTTCTTGGGATTAAGCCTTTGCTTTTTTGTACAGACTCTTTAAGATATTTGGCATTCAAATCAAAAGAGCTATTCTGAAAACAAGTTTATTTAGAGTAGGCTGTTGTTAACAAAATCTGAAAAATATAAAATACTAAGAAGTAAGTGTAACTAAAATAGTTTTTCTTAGGATTAAATATTTTTTTTTGGGTGAACTTCTTAAAATATTTGGTATTCAAACCAAAAAGTTTATTCTGAAAGCAAGTTCTTTAAAATAGTAAAAGTCTATGAAAACGTATATACAACTATAAAACTTACAAAAGAAACTCATATTTTATCATTGACCCACCATTCTGTTTTGAGAAAATTTTTTGTAAAAAGTAAATATCTCAGTTTACTCTTTTCAAAAGATCAATATCATATGAACCAAAACAGTTAACATTATTTATTTTCTAAATCAAATAGATAACAACAAACACATATAGTGATTTGTATATATCTTGAATACAGAATATTTATACAAACAATATTCTGAGACAATATCTAACCTTTCTACAAATTTATTGATGAAGTTTTCTCACAGAGTTTTTTATTTTGATGTTCTAAATAGATAAATTTAGAGTAAAAACTAGTTTATTTGATAGTATATAATTTTTACAAGCTTTTTATAGGCTTATAATCTTGGTATTAGATTATATAATTTTTTTTTTGTTTTTTCTTACTACTTCCTTACTCTTTTATTTCTTGTTTGTATTTTTTATTGTAGTCCTCTATATTTCTATATTATTTTTATTAATATTTCTATTTGTTTTTGTTACTTAATATAAAATGTTAGCTCTAGCTAAAGATTAGAGAAATCAAATCCTTAATAAGTTAAGAATTCAATATTAAGCAAAATAGCCACTTTGACAGATTGTATCTGAACTTTTTAGTTAAGTGAGTCTTTATTAAAATAGAATATAGTACAAAAAAATTATATTAGAATTACTACCAAAAAATATAATTTTTTGGTATTTTTATATAAATAATAAAAGCAGAATCATTTAAAAAAAAAAATTAATTTCTATATTTAAAAAATAATTAAAATATATTTTTTAATATTTTTTTAATTAACTTTAGAGTTAAGATTATTTTATATTAGAGTTAGATTAAGTTTTAAATTGGTATATATAAACAAAATTGTTTTTTTAATATTATTATTTAATAGGTTTTTATTGTTTTTTTTTGTATTTTTAGATTTTTTATTTTTGTCTTTTGTTTTTATTTTTTTTTTTATTTTTTTTTTAAACTTGGCTAGGAAAGCTAACGAAGTTTTTATTAGATATACTTATTAGTATATATATGATTTTTGAATTATATTACAACCTATTACTAGACTATGCTAATTCAATCAGCTACTTGATATTTATTCAGTTACTCTAATAGATACCTAAACATATCCTAGTTGCACTACTAGTATACTATGATCAAAGCCAATACTTGTAATCAGAATATCTTCTAACTTTGAAGAGACATTGTCATTAAACCACTAAGCTAGTGGAAAAGAATCATACTTGTACTGATGCTACTTTTGCATTCTGAATTCTACTATATTTAGCTAAAACTATGTTCTTTGCTTTTACTACCTTGCTTTTGTATAACTTCTAAATTAGTAATATTTGGGTCATAGATCTTTATAATCTTCTAGTTTAGTATGTTATATTATTGTTTTCTTTAAAGTATTTCGATATTGGTCTAAGATCTACAAAAACTTGTATCTTAAGCCAGAAACTGCTATCTAATTAGATTTATCATATAGCAATATTGATATTTTATTGTTAGATAACCTCTACTACTTATTTGTCTAGATACTACTAATTTGTATCTCAAGCTAGTTTCAGCTATCACAACTCAATTACAAATACTTCAGGTTTTAACGTTATATAATTACTTAGCACTTTCTTCTGTTCTTCTAAGTACTACCTGCTATAGTGAGTTTAGAATATATTCTACAAGTATTTAGAACAATTCTGATTATATCCAAAAAATTTACTGATCCTAGTAATACTATATTACTATATAATACTTGCTTTTAGCATATTGTTATACAATACTAGAACAATTTCGGTTATTTTTAGAGAGTTATACTGACCCTAGTAATGCTATACTACTATTTGTTATTATAAATTCTAGAGATTAGTAGATCCTAAACTTGTTCATTATAGACTTTATATAGGTATGACTGGAGTCTGATTTGGTATCTTTATATGTACTCAAAATATTAGACAACTTCTATAATCTTTGCCTTCTATAATATTTTTATTCTGTATTACCAGAGATATTTTTGATTCTAGTAAGGCCAATCCTTTATCACAAACTATCTACATGTTCATTATTTTTCTTACTACTTCTAACTTTGATTACAATAATCACCCTCCTAAGCAAGTATTTATATCTTCTTTTTTAGATAAGAACTTATTTACACAATCTGTTGATTACCTTTTCAAGCAAGTACCCATAAGTTAGATATAAGGATATTGGTATTGCCAAACCTAGAGATACAAAGATGTTGATGCTGTCCTATTTTTTTAAGAACTTATTGCACAATTTTCATAGCTGCAGTTTTCTGTAATACTGCAGTTATACATAATATCAATATTTTATATTTAGATCTTTTTCTGAAAATTCTTATTCCAGCTTCATACCTATACTTGGACTTAGCCACAAAACTTTGTATTTAATTATAGCTCCTGAAGATTACAAAAACAAATTATTCAATTTGACTCTAGCCTAACTTGAACCATTAACCTTGTCTGTAGAGGTTTGAGAGTTTAACCAATAAGCTACAGAACCCAAACCCTTGTTTTTTGTTTTCTTTACTAACAATTATCAAAATTTTATATAGTAATTTAATTGGTTATAAATTTGTTATATTTTAGATATCTTAAAATATTTGGAATTATATAATATATATAATTGTTTATTTTTTTATATTATAATTAAACAAAAAAAAATATTCAGATTATATAACTCAAATATGATTGGTAGATAAATTTTTTAAGATATAATATATAATTTACTTAAAAATTTTATCTAAAAGATTTTCAATTAGAAAATTCTTTTTAGTTTTATAAAATAAATTTTGTACTAATCATTGGCTAAATTTTTATTTAATACACAATCACCTTTTAAAGCCTTGTAAATCCCAGTGGATCTCTAGACTATATTCTTAAAAAATAACTTTTGCAAAAAAAATTTGTTTTTTTTTTATAACAAAAAATTTGTTTTTTTTTATAACAAAAAACGCTTTTTTTTTTAAATAAAAATCGATTTTAGAATGATATTTTAAATATATTGCAGATCAATTTCTATATCTGGAAAAATCCCTGACTATAGTTAGTGTAAGAGAAAAATTCCGAAAAGTTCCGATATAGAAAATAAATGAACTTAAAGACGAGTGTGAAAGAGAATTCCGAAAAGTTCTGATATAGAAAATAAATAATCTTAAAAAGTTGAGGCATTTGTTGGATCAATATCCGAACGATTCCGAAGATAGTATAATAAATACATATAGCATAATACTATAAAAATTGCATAATCTAGGTCAAATCGCATAATTAACCCAAACTGCCATCGAAATATGACGATTAACCATTAATCACAATTTGGTGTAACATAACACGATCGCGAAGAACCAAAA